ACACAACAATTAATCGGCATAACCAGCCACAAGATATCCTATCACAACTCGCACAGGCTGTCTTCGCCACAAGCGACATATAAGGCATACTTAATAACAAACATCACGCTAGCATAATACCATCTCTGAAATCGCTTACACACACAATACAGACAAAAGCTATATATAAATATATATTCTCAGCTTACACGATTCCTCCAAAAACTATAATCTGTACGCTAGCGTTACGTAAATTACCTCGAGATGGGCTCTCCTGCCTGGAGTTTAGCTACCAAACCGAACCTTTCATGGCGCCGACCCAAACAGAATTTAGTTACGGAGCGAGACGTCCGTACACGATGACTTTCCAGGCAGAAGAGAGCGCGTGCTTCAGCCGAATCACAAAGGATAGGGGAGCGATGACGTAGAATGCGCCACGGACTAAGGATAGGTAGTAGGAAAGGTAGGAAAAACGGTGTGACCCGTGGCCGCGGCCGCCGCTCGGAGAGGGCACCACAAGCAATGAGCCGAAGGGATCGGCTCAGTTATTATAATGTCGAACGGCAGGGTGCCCGGGAATGATGGAAAGGATGAGATAGGAAGTGGTCATGGACTGTATGAAGATACTATCCAAAAACTATCGCAAAGAAATCTAGAGAAGACGCCAAACACTTTAATACAGCCGAGATTCGAACTCTAGTACACTTGGCCCCAACGTTCGTCGTAACATTAGGTGAACATATATAGCAAGTTTTACCGTGTAATCACTAACGGTCTTGCACTGTTGGCAGGAGGGAAATAGCAGAAGTGGTTTTGCATTTGACAGAAGCATAACATGGCGGTTTCTTGCACGCCGCATTGCAAATTGTATTTTGTGGAGAAACTAATTAGCGACGCTTCGAGGGGAGCTAACACCCATTAGTGAAACGTCATTAAGTGCTATATCGTCTCTCGTTATGTGATTTTATTGTGAGTTTTAGGTATGGACTTTGAAATGAACATAACGGATTGAAATTAGATGCACGTTTGTTAGTTTTTCAGCATTTTTGTCATGCTTATGACATTAGCCATAACGGTCAGATCATAAAATATTTTTTCTCACCTCTTGCTCCCACTTTGGAGCACATGGCTGATTTCTCAGTTTCGTGATGAGTTTTACAGACGGTAGGACTCCTTGGACGGGTGATCAGCTCGTCCCAAGGCCTCTACCTAAACACAGGACAACACAGACTCAGAATAAACACACACACACACCAAATTTTCATGCCTTGTGTGGGATTCGAACCCACGATCCCGGATTCCGGGCTTAGCCTTAGACCGCTCTGCTACCGTGACCTGCATCATAAACTATGCATGGTAAGAAAAAGGTAAAGGAGTTCCTGTAACAGGCCGTGAAGGCCCATAGGGGTGTGAGAGGTCGAGGCTCGCACATCTTCTAGACCAGTGGTTCTCAACCTTTATGACACCGCGGCCCAGTAAGTTCTTTTTTTCTATAAGACGAGGGCCCAGTCGCAACAGATTTACTCGTAAATGCCTTTCCAGTTTTGTTAAAAGTTCATGCATTAAGCTAACGTAATATTAGTAATTAATTATAGCATAATGATAAAGCGTGTTAGTACACTTATGTATACGGTGTCGCATGTTGACAAACATAAAATTACATTTAAATTAGTTATCAATCACTGGACTAATGAAATCTTGTAGCATTTTGTAGTTTTCTCAGACCAACATCATTAAATTAATTTATGCTAATTTTCATTGACATATCCAATGCTGATCACCAAGAACTTATGTTATTCAGCGTAAAATTGATTATTGTATTATTAAATTGATTTTAATGATGTCTGTTTGAAAAAAACTGCAGTGAGAAAAATATTTATGCATTATAACTCACCATAGAAGTCAGCTGAGTAGGGGAGGAAGCAGAAGGATGTCAACTTGCCGGCGAAACACTTATTATCACATACACACGCCAAATAATTATATATGTAAAGTATGTAATTTGATAAATAAAAATGTATGAATCTCTCAATTCTAAACATTACTTCCAACAATAATTAATATCTTGATTTTAAAGACTCAGCACTTTAACACAGCAAATATAAGTTATTGAAAAGTTAAGCTTAGTTTCTTTTATCACAACTGAGTTTGGAAGGTTTTAGTTAGGCTAGTGAGACTTCTGTTTCTGTTTTCCGTCCGTTAGCTTATTAATTCTGGGATGAATTGAAGTGAGAGCCAAACGGAGACTGTCAGAAAGTTGCAGGCAGTTCCTCTGTTTCGTTTTAAGCACAGTCATGGCAGAAAATGCAGTTTCACAAAGATATGTGGTGGAAAAACAAAGAAACCTCACTGCTATTTCATGAAAATTTGGATATTCATTTTTGATTCTTATCCAGAATTTCGAATTACTCGTAGTATTAAAAGTACTTTCCAGTCCTTTGTCCGATGATAATTCAATAAGTTGAAGGGTTTCTTCATGAGAAAGGGCTGTCTCTTTGTGCTCAACAGAAGGGTCCACAATCCACATATTTTGCCTCCGGGGATCCTCATGTTCGGGATAATATTTTTTAAACGACAACGACATCTTCAAGTTGGCTGCAATAATATCTGAAACTGAATTCGGTGAATAGAAATCATCTGCTTCCATAATATAATTGGAGTACGACTGAAACATTTCATTGTTTCCTTCTGCAATCATATTAAGCCAGAGTTTCAGTTCGACAATGGGATGTCTTTCATTTTACTTGCCGCAGACTGGCCTAATACTTCATTACAAGCAGCAATCAAAGAAGGCTTAATGAGTTCTTTCCCAATGGAATATGGTTTTTTACATTTAGCTACCTGTAGTGATATTAAATAGGCCGCCGTCAGAAGTGAAGTGTCAGTGGTTGAAGCTTGGTAAATAGTTTTCTTTTCTACTTTAAGTGCATCTCTTTTACGCATAAAGAATTCAATGGGTTTGTTGACTAGGTGTGAATGTCTTGTGTTGAGATGTCGGGTAAGTCGCAGTGGCTTCATAGCTTCATTTCCCAGAGCAGTAGCACAAATGACACATTGAGGTCGTGGCAATTGGTCGGTGTGAGGGCATTCTATAAAACCAAATTTTAAGTAGCTGTCCATGTACTTACGAATGGATGCAGACTTTTTCTTCTGTGTGCTGGTGGTTTTCCCTTCGTTTTGTACATCCTGGAGATCGCTATGTAGGCTTGAGGTGGATGAATCACTACTTGTTGCGTCACAAACACCTTCAATACGAGATTTCTTAACACCAAAATTAAACAAAGTTCCCTGTCTCTTATTCATATTAAAATTTAAATCACTCAGGTTTCGAAACAACACTTACACGCTGCAATGCGAACTTGCGGAGAAACAGTATTAAGTATTACTATATTTGAGAACCGAATACAGACTGCCTTGATCTTCAATTTGCTGTGGAAACATTTTCTTTATAGTTCCTTGCTAATTGGTCACTGATATTTGCAACACAGATGTTATTTCGCTCAGTTCTGAGAACAGAGGATATGCCGCCCATTGTTGTAATCGGCTTTCAGGCCATTTTTATGACTATTCATAAACATCGGTGTTGGCTTTCCCGATCATTCATGAATACTTCCATGTTTAAAAATATGCGGCTTGGTCACTGACATTTGCTACACAGATTTAGGTGTTCTGTGGCTGAGCTTCTCGACACAAATATTATTCTCCTCAGAATATTTCCACTATAAAATGCTTATTCATGAAAATGCCTAGAAAATGAAAATTACAAATTCCAGAAGAGCCTCTTGCGGCCCAGTATAGTTGATGCCAGCCAGGGCCCACTACTGGACCGCGGCCCGGCGGTTGAGAAGCACTGTTCTAGACAGTCGGCTCATAGATGACGATAAGGTTGTCAGCCTTATGCGCCGGCAGCCTTTTACCCCCCAGGAAATTACTGGTACTCATTTCCGTTAGAGGCTGAGTGAACCCCAAGGCCATACTGCGGATGGAAGGTTTAGGTTGAAAAATCTATGGAAATAGACCAAAATGATCGTACCAATCCATATGGTGGGAGTGGCACGTAAAGTTTTAGATCTGTAGTCTTCAAATGGTGTGTTGTAATGTGACATCCAAGGATGTGAATAATATGTTTTGGTGTGCATTTTTGCAGAACGCGAAATCTGTAGGTTTGTGTGACTTCACTTCAGTGGCGATAATTAACACATTTGAAGTTATGTAATATTTTGTGTAAAGGTTGATCAGAAACGTGTGTACAAGTTGTATGCGCACGATTTTTGCTTGATAATTACAAACAGCTCACAACTGCTCGAAGTTGTGAAATGATATGTGACAAATTTAGCGGAAGTCTGCTGCAAATACACACTAATGAATTTCAGGCACATGCCTGGATCATTAAATATATCGCTGATTTACTTTTGTTACGCTCTTCACCACGTGTACATGCTGAATTATTAGCAGGAAAGCAGGCATTATCAGTTTTTCTCAGCACTTCTTATTTCGCAAACTTTTAAGACAAGAATACAGAAATGTTGGAAATGATATAATAATAATAATAATAATAATAATAAGTTAATGAAGGATATCATCCTTCAGAAGAATTTAATTAATTGGTGTAGGTAACTCCTGTAGTGTACCTGATTGTCATTTTTTGTATGTTGGTATCCAAATCGCATGCTTTGAGATGTGCTGTATTTATACCAGCAGAGGTAATAACATATTCAGATTTCGTTTAAAATGCTCTCTTTTTCTGCAGATTGGACAGGCAGAGGTGCGAAACGAACGAGTCATAGTGAACACGAAGCACCCAGCCAACCGCACGCCTGTCTGAAATCTGTCACACATCAGAATACTTAGTTCACAGGACCAGGTAAGTTTAATTTTGCAAAGCATTGTTATGATTTGGTGTTTCTTTTACCGGTTCGAGAAGTAGAATGCATTTTCTTCTGCTCTCTTTTATAATTATATATTATATTATATATATCGTAGGGACATCGGTATTGATTGAAGCGAACTAAATATTATAAGCCGCATAATTGGCAGTACCACGTACAGGCGTGCCTGTCACACAAATATCGAGAATCCTCCATAAATGTAACTGTGTTCGTTTTATGGTAATTATTGTTACTTATGCGTACCGCCTTTTAATCAAGTTTGGTAAGTTTTATACCCTTTAGCGTTGGCTCGGAAAAGTATTGGTACGCTGTTTTAAGTTAAAATTTATGCGAGGACCATCCGAATTTAGAGCACTTATGATGTTACTTAAAAACGAACCCGTCATTAAAATACGACTTGAGATTCCATGTCTTCCTGAGTGTAAGATATTCCTTAATGTAATGTGCTTCTCTATCGTGAATAGTTAAATTCAAGAACTAATTTAAGCTCCATTTAAAGATAGGCAGCAATACAGCTAGGGAGTGTAGTAGATAGAATATAAAAATCCTTAACCAAATTCCATTGTCCCATCAACATGTAAGTATTTCAAGTGATCACGTTTATAAATTTCTCATTTCTTCATGCATGCTACTTGCACTATCCATCTAATTCACATGATCTCATCCGGATAGCACTTGGTTAAGCATACAGATCGAGAAATTCTTAATTATGCTATTTTCTTGAGCAACTTGTTGCTTCCTGCCTCGTAGGTTCGAATATTTTTTGTCAGTCTCCTCTTCCCTTATTGCAAGAGACCGAGTTACACACCCATACTAAACGATGGGCAAAACTATAGTTTTGTCTATTTTAATTTTGGCGTTTTTAGGTAGCGGACTGCAAGTCAGAAGTTCCTGAACTGAAAAATAGCAAACGTTTGCGGAATTTAATCTACTTTATTATTATTATTATTATTATTATTATTATTATTATTATTATTATTATTATGAGAGTGTACTGTCATTTCTAAATGTTTGAACTTTTGCTGTAATTATATGCGGTACACGTCTTTAAAAAGGAAATCGCTTTCATAGCCGTAAGAGCTTCTTTCTTGATTGATTTATGGTCCTGAAATTTGGGTCAATTTTGTGTTTTTACGGACATTTCAGTTTCCCTTACCATCATAAGACTGTTCTCTCCGTCACAATATTGTTATGGTCCTTGCTGTTTTACATGTTTGTTCCATATTCTGTAGGATTTCCTATATGGGAAATGTTCTGCTACATATTTTCTACCTACAACATTCGGATCAGTCTGTTGCCTACATCTCTGCCCTGAATACCCGAACCCAGGATCCTCTCGAGTTGGCCCATGGGGTGCTCGCTGTCTGTAATCGCACGGCCACTGTGATCGAATTATCACCAGATACCCTGTAAATCGTAGCTGGTTGAGGCACTATGCTACAAGCCGGAAGGTCGCGGGTTCAAGTCCCAGTGAGGTCACTGAATTTCTTTCATTTGACCTTAATCCTTCCAGCCGCACTAGGGCCCTGGGGTTGACTCAGCCTCTAACAGAAATGAGTACCAGGAATTAATTAAATAATTTTCCTGGGGAGTAAACCGCGGCCGGCGCGTAAGGCTGACAACCTTACCGCCATCTCTGAGCCGATTGTCTAGATAATGTGGGACCCTCAACGTCTCACAACCCTATGGGCCTTCACGGTCTGTTACAGTGATAGCTTTACTTTTTTTTTTTTGTTACCCTGTAAATCTATGAAGAATGAAGGAATGCATTATGTGCCACGTAAAATAGTTTATCCCGAAACACAGGCCTGTATTCTTGTCCTGCCTTCTGAAACAAGAGTTTCCAAATCGGTTTGCTGCACTGTTTAATTAACCTGGTCCCCAATTTCTGGAAAGCTTTATGTTATACAGAATGTCCCAGTAGGAGAGGTCAATATTCTGGGAGGTCGTAGTATCGGTCATTCTAAGCAAAAAGGTGTATATGTACATGTGTCCTATTCCGAACGGTTTCCGAGATGGATCTGTTTCAATGTACAGTGTGCAGACGAGCAACGCGTCATGGCCTCACACGAGCTGCAGAGCGCATTGATGTTGACGGTGGAATTTTAACAAATGTATTGTAGTAAGTAAACTGTACCAACTATGTCGCTTGAACAATAAATACTTGTATCAGAAACAGTACATAGTATCTCTTTCTTATCAACAATTTTATAACTGTACAGTGAAATAGCTCTGTCTCGACACCGTTCGCAATAGCATACATGTACATATACACTTTTTTTTTTGATTAGATTACCAAAACTGTGACCTCCAAGAATACTGACTTTTCCTCCTCGGGCGCCTTGTGTACAGATAGGCTACGCTTTACCAGGTCTAAAAGAAGTAACATTTACAACTAGCTGCCTCATTTTATTTCGTTTCCCATTAGCGACTTCGCTTGTGCTGAATAAGATTTGTATTTTTACTGCGGTCAGAATTGGAATTGCGGTATTTTGGATTATGAATCCGCATAGTTTCTTAGGTTTCGAAGAAACCCGCTGTTTACGTCAACAGAGCCATGTGCCCCATAGAGGACCACGTTCTTTAGCTTGTTTGAAGAATTGTCTCTCACTTTCTTTCCTTTCTTCCTCGGCAGCTGTGGTGTGATGGACAGGGTGGTGGGAAAACGAAGGTAGATATCGTCGCTGCCCCCCATACAACATTTACGGAAAATCCTTTGAAGACGGATGCCAAACTGTTTAATATCCCCACATGCAAATTGACTGTGAATGTATAATGTAAGATTTGAGGCCTTCACTGCAGTCACTGTGAAGAATGCCGTTCCTCTGAAACGTGGGTTAACAAAATATCTGCACGGCGCCACATCCCAGAAGACGGCATTCTTCGTGAATGTATAATGTTGGTGATTATGACATTTCTTAGATTTCATTAAGCCGTTGCTTTTCACATCGTAAATAAGCGCATTGAGACACTATAGCAATGCTTTGGCTTGTTAATTTTTAGTGATTTGTGTTAGCACTTTCAGTCGGACGCTTGGGAGTTGGCGACTCTTACCTTTTCGCCTGAGGACCGAAACAAATTCAGTTTCTGAAAATTTATATATTTTTTTACATTACTAGACGATGAGTAAAGACAAAGAAACATCAACCATCTTGAACACCATTTCAGGGTGTCTGATACCGCAGTTAATTCAGGTGTGAAAGAATTTAGGAGTTCAGTGGCGCTCTAGACAGGGAGGCAGAGATTACATACTTGTGTAAGGTGTGAGTTTTCTTCCTTTTAGAAAGTTCATTTGTTGAAGGTTTAATAATGGAGATGTTCTGAGGATCATACGAAAGTGTTAAACGGCATTGACTCATACAGCAGTCATCACTAGAGGCGAATGAATATAATCGGCTTCTTTGAAACCATAGCAGTTAATGAACTCTGTTCGGCATAACTAGCTGCGGGTGGTGGGTTTGTTATTTTCAAATTATCTGACCGTTATTCCACTTTTCTTTTGATACACATATGTTCTGCTGGTCGAAACAACACTCTGGCTTTAACGTTCCACGGTTCTTAGGTTTTTAACTTGTGCATTGGAAATCCGTTTTTGGGATCCTTCCAGTTATATGTAAATGTGGGCGAAATGGTGCCAGCAGCGGCGAGCGTGGGCTGTCCAAAGGAAATATCCAGCTATCTCCTTATGATTTCTCTCTTCTTCATTGTTAACTCGTATCATGTGTTCGAAATGCTAAACCACGTCCGTGTGCGCACAGGTAATGCAGGTTTGAATGCCATCTTAATCTGTGAATGTGAGCAAGTGGGGCCGTCTGATTAGGAAATCAGTTATATATGTCATCTGTATACTCGTATATAACAACAATCAAAAGTGGTAACAGACACGCGATATTAGTTGTAGAATGCCTTAGCATTGATATCTGAAATCTATCATTCGGCACAGTTATATACTCGTAATGTAAGTAAACTGCACTGGTAAGCAACTGGAATCATCAGTTTCACTCAACTTCTGTGCAGCTGTTTTGAGTTTTCCCCTCATTATTGGTAATATCTGGAGCCGGGATAGCGCAATCGGTATAGCAACTGGCTGCGGACAGGACGACCAAGGGGTTGGAGTTGGAGTCCCGGGAGGGTTAAGAATTTTCTCTTCTCCACATTATCCAGACCGGCTCTAGGGCTCACGCAGCTTCCAATCCACTGGGTACCAGGGATAAAGCGGTCTGTGCGTGAGAAAAAAAGTGGATCGATACATCCACTCCCCAATACGCCTTCATGGCATAGTGCTTAATTAGTTAAGGACAGGGACAACTTTACCTTATTACTAACATCTACAGACTTAAGCGACGTTGACATTTGAAGCGTTTCTTGATATAAGAGGCCACTGCACAGCCACCGTGCGTTCTGTGTGCAAGCCTGCTTATCGACGCACGTAACATATTGTCCTTGTTCGCTCACTGTAAGAATTGCACTGCTCAGGTCTTACTGCTATCTCAGTGGAAACGGTGATAACGGCAGTAACAGTAAGAATTGTAACCAAGTAACTAATTTTCTTGTAGAGCGCTGTGGTTCGTCTCCACCAGTATCCTTCGCTGGGGACGATCTTGAACTAGTTTCGCCCACCTCCCATTCTGACAGCCTACATTCATTAATTAATGCTGACACTGTTGTCTCTTTTACTTTATTGTCAAGTCATTGTTGTGTAGACGGCCCCTATATATATTCATTCTGTAACAACAGGATGCAAAGAGTAAAGAATCAAAGCTCATGTTAATTTCAGCACCCATCCCTTCGGTTTCCAAGTGGCCGCTTTCAAACAGGTTTTACAGTTGAAATTCTGTCTGTATATGCATTTCATGGGAAACCCATCGTGACCTCCCGAATGTTGCTACCATACCAATGTTGTACCCTCTGTATAATTTAGTGGTGCTAGTTGTGGTGATGCTGATAATAAAATAGTAATAATGCTTATAATAAT